AGGACATTCGTTCTTCTGGCAAAACAAACAAACATGTTAACTGTAAATTTATTTATTATTATTATTATTATTTTTTTTTTGTATGTATTTAGGTGCTCCCAGAAGTACTTACGGTCTTATCATAGAGCACCGCGGGAGAGAATTTGACAGGAAGTTCACGCCTCCTTCCGTACCAATGTCGCTTGTTGGGCTAGAGCTGGCGTCGAACCTCGGACCTCTTGGTTCTGAGCCAGAACTCTAACCACTGCGCCACGACTGCTTAAAAAACCTTAACCCTATCCCCCCCAGATCTTGGCGCCGCACTGGCGCACCCCCTGCTGCGGCTATCGCAGGGTTTATTGCATTAAGGCCGTTTTCCACAAGACAAAAAATTTGCGCGAAACGAATTTTTTCGTCGAACAGCATGCGCAGATTAAATATTTTTGGTGATTATGCTGATTTTTTTATTAATACTAATACACAAATCTGAAAGATTATTAACATCACTACAAATGCTGTAGAACAGTGTATTTCTCATGTATTTCTCTTGTGTATTGTATATAAAGTTGACATATTATAATTAATAGCCTTTGGGCTGCTATGTGTTGTATGGTTAAATATGAAACTGTCTCAGGTGCGGAAAGTTTTTTCAAGGTATGGTGAAATCAATGTCATATTAGGTATATGATAAATTTTAAATCAATTAGCCTGGGGAAATACCTTGAAAAAACTTTCCACACCTGAGACAGTTTCATATTTAACCATACAACACATGGCAGCCCAAAGGCTATTAATTATAATATGTCAACTGTGATTTATAGGCAAAAGTTCATCATTTAGAACCCCAGGCTAATTGGTTTAAAATTTATCATAAACCTAATATTATATATATATATATATATATATATATATATATATATATATATATATATATATATATATATATATATATATATATATATATATATATATATATATATATATATATATATATATATATATATATATATATATATATATATATATATATATATATATATATATATATATATATATATATATATATATATATATATATATATATATATACATATATATATATATACATATATATATATATATATATATATATATATATATATATATATATATATATAGAGAGAGAGAGAGAGAGAGAGAGAGAGAGAGAGAAAGAGAGAGCTTCAATGACGCCCGGGGCATAGTAGCAATTTTGTGCCCCTATAAGCATGCATTTAAACAAGTGCAGTTACACAACTCAAGGCCGTTTTTCACAAGACGAAAAATTTGCGCGAAATTTTTCTGTCGATAAGCATGCGCAGATTAAACATTTTTGGTGATTATGCTGTTTTTTTTTGCTACAGCGTTTCGCTGCAGCGAAAAAAAAAGTCGGTTTCATTTCGACTTTTTGCGAGTCGCTATAAGCGAAAACCAATCAAAGTTCAAATATTATTCACGTGATATAAACAGCTTAAAAAATCGAAAGCACGTTTTTTTTTTTAAACGGCAACAACAATAATGAACGACAACAACAGCAATGAATAAAATGCTCAACTTATTATTGCTCAACTTTTTATTAATTTAAATTCAACCTGAAAATTTGCTAGCATTATTAAGTTTATCAAATAAAGATAAAATTCAAAGTTGCGAAGTCTTACTTCACAAGAAGGTTTATTTTCGTTCAAAGTTGAAACATCTGTTGCTTCATAAAGTAACAGTTTTTCCACAGAAGTTTTCATATCAGAGGTTAGCATTTATTTTTCTAAACATTCTTAAGAAAAATTATATCAAATACTATTTTTGAATAAATTTTGTTAAAAAATTATACTTTAATTCAATTATTTACCATATTTTCAGATTAGAAAGTATCCATGTTTGTGGGATATATCTCACCAGTCATACAAAAATAGAAGTGTTAAAATGAACGCTTGGAAAGTAATTTCCACATCTTTTAAAACAAAAAGTAAGTAAAAATAGTAATTATAGGTTGTAGATAAACGATAGTTATATATACATACACTTAAATGTTTATTTTTTTTGTGTTTCAGTTGAAGTTTTGCAAAAAAAAATTAAGAAACCTAAAAGATATTTAAAAAAAATGCTTCGACAAACGTAATAAGATGACTAAATCAGGTGCTGGTGCATCAGTTTTACCTAAGTGCAAATACTATGAAGAAATGTTGTTTTTACATGATAAGAACAACAATATTTCAACTCAAAGTAATTTTGAATTAGAAGAAACTTTAACTGAAAATGAAGATCAGATTGCGATTCCAACTGCTGTAAAAGCCAAAAAAAAGGAAAATTAACAATCAGGCAGATAAAAAAATAATGCAAGAACTTTCAAACTTTGATAGCGAGCTAAAAAAAGTTATGACTGATAGTCAATGTGAAGACACATTATACTGCCAAAGTTTAGTACCCATATTGAAATCTTACCGCTTAAAAAAAGAAGAATATCAAAAATTAAAATATATAAACTGTTGTATAAGCTTGAATTTGATAAAAAATGTGAAATAAAAATAAATAAAAATTTTATATTTATTTTAAAAAATAAGCAAAAATTTTTTTTTTGTTATTTTTTTTGTAAACAAAGAAAAATATCGGTTTTAAATTTAAAACTTTTAGTCTTTTTGATAAGAAGTATTGTTTATCAATGACCATTGCCAATCAACTGCATCGTCGGTATTAAAATATTTTTTGAAGTTGTTTCTAATTTTTTGTGCATCTTTAGAATGATTATTACAAGCAGAACTTGAAATATCTTGTAATCCTTGTACATCGTCGATTTCTTTTCTCCATTCACCAGGTATTAATTCATTTTTGACCATCCTGATCAATATAAGTATTTGGACAATAATTATAATTAAGACTCTCCTTCCTTTTTGACATTAAAAAATTGTGAAGTGCGGCAACAGCTTTTGTTATAAGCACGACTTTTTTTGTTGAAGCAATAATAGGTCTTCTGAAAATCCGAAATCTGGATGCAGCTATACCAAATGCATTCTCAACTATTCTACTGACACGCGACAATCTTTAGTTAAATATTCTTTTTTTGTACGAAAGATTACAAAATGGATAAGGTTTCATAATTTGAGGCTTTAAACCAAATTCATTATCTTCAATAAACGCGTAGGGCAATGTTGTTTCAGTACCATTTACTTTACATGCTTGAGGAATGTCAAGCAGATCATTTTCAGTAGCATAACCAAGTTGACTATTTGCATATACACTACCGTCACTTTGTCTTCCACTAATTCCTATATCTAATAGTGAAAACTGATATTTTGCATTGCACACAGCCAAAAGAACAATACTATGTGTCTTTTTGTTGTTATAAAACGATAAGCCAGAGCACGCAGGAGCTTGCATAACTACATGCTTTCCATCATAGCACCTAAGCAATGGGGAAAATTCCATTTGTTCTCGAAGTCAGTAGCTATTTTTTTCCATTCTTTTTCAGAAGATGGTCGATCTATGTATTTATTTTTAAAAAGTGATACCCATATTGCTCTACATGTTTCACTTATTATTCTTCCGACAACTGAAGGACTCATGCGGTAGTTCATAACAATTGTTGTCTGTGCGTCACTGGTTACCAAAAAACTCATTGTAACACAAAATCTTTGTGGAGCAGATATACAATCTCTCATATGTGTAGATTTTTTTCTAATCAACGGACACACCGAAGAAAAAAGTGCTTTTAATATTGTTGGTGACATGCGAAAATAACGTTTTCAATTATTTTTATAACAATAATCAATGAAACTTATACTTAAAAAGTATAATTTTCATTGTTTTTTTTCATTAATATTAATGAAAAACAACAACAACAGATTTTCATTTGGTGAAGATTGAAAAAGCTGCAACCAAAGTATCATTATAAAAATACTTTTAAAAGAGTTCACTGTAGATACATCAATTACAGTTTGTGCTGATACTATTTCAACCGTTAGCAAGGCGATTTTTTAAAAAAATGCTGACGTTCTTGTTAACATATGATAAATTGTGGCTTTAAACAGATCACTTTTTTAATTATATGCTAAGTTTATTGACAAAATGTAAATGCTCTAACTATTTATAATTTGGTTTTAAACAACCTTCGAATTTCTTCAACAGCGGTTTTCTGTGACAAAACCTGATGGTTATACTATAGTTTTAAATAATTTTAAAAACTTAATTTTAAATAATTTATGTTCATATAAAATTATTTCAAACTATACTTCTTTGGTAATATAAACAACTTAATTTAACATACACAGCATAAAGTAAATTTATTTTACACCTCATCAAAAAACAAATCATTTATTTTGTTATAACGAAAACTACATTACGACATTTTTTTGTTTTTTTTTTTCTCGCGCCCTGAATATCTTGACGCCCAGGGCACGTTTACCCTCCTTGGAGTCTTGTATATATATATATATATATATATATATATATATATATATATATATATATATATATATATATATATATATATATATATATATATATATATATATATATATATATATATATATATATATATATATATATATATATATATATATATATATATATATAGGTATGTGGATTGAAAATTTTAAATTGATCAAAGGTTAGATTGTTATATATCATTAGAAAGTGCTTCAATACAGTATTTTAAAGGTGAAAAAATTATTAAAATCGGACTATTGTACAAAAAGTTATGACGTTTTTAGTCGCAAATTTTTGATATATGGATTTGTTGAAGAAACTGTGGTCAAAATTTAATTTTTCTTTACTTAAATTGTTATAACTTTGTCAATTCTTGTCTAAATACCTATAACTTAGTATCAAAAGATAGGTGTAACTGTGGGCTACAAATAACATCGTCCATCTATTGGGCGTTTCCTGAGGGCTAGAGGGGGTGCCGAACCACCACCTTTACCCTAAAAATAAGCATATTTCTTTCAATAAAAAGTTTTTTTTTTCAACAAACGGTTATTTTTTTATACAAAAAATTGCTATAATTTTATTCCAGACCGTCAATGATTGATGTTTATTAAAGTTGGTGGTGGATATGGTGGTGATGGTTTAATACACCCTAATTTCAAAAATATTTAATTCTCTAATTATAAATAAATATTTCTATATTTAATAAAATAAGTGAAACTAGTACACAGTATAAAAAACATAAAAATTTTTTTTGCTACAAGAATTTCATTTATTGGTGGTGTGCTTATTGACTTGTGGGAGGGGCGTGTGCCCCCCCCCCCCTTTAACCTAAAAAAATAAATAAGTAAAATAAATCAATCTTTATAATAACAACTATAATTATTTTAAAATGAGTTAACAATTTAAAACCTGACAATGAGTTAACAATTTAAAATAAGTTAACAATTTAAAACCTGAATTAGGCTTTTTGCACCAAGTATAATCTACAAGCTAAAGATAAAGACCACAACCGAGCCTACTTTTGAAAAAAAAGTCTTTTCGCTGCTATTCGTAAATTTTGGTTAAGTTGAGAAGTTTGTTAAATAGAGTGGTAATGGTTACCCACAACCTACAATAAAAAGATGTTGAATTCTTAAAATTAATTGTATCTTTAACAAACAAAATAAATTAGTATATTTCATTTTTTGATATTTCATTAAATATATTTTATTTCATTACCAAAAATATCAGTGTTGTATCCTATAAAAAAAATGTAACAATCAATTTTATTGTTTTGTATTAAAACATTTTAGATATCCTAAGTTTAAATAGTTGTCTTAGCTTTTAGTAAATAATTAAGATAGTCAATTTCATAAATGGAACACTATAATAATCATTTGTCACAATAGACACCACGTGAGGATAAGCCAGAGCTGCCTATCAAAATATTTTGCAAGTCACAACACTTGTGCAAAGGTCATTGCAAGTCAAATACTTTTATTCTTCTCTAAAAACATTTATAAAAAAAAGTAAAACAAAAACATATGGTTTAATACCAGGCATACCTGACTTGATATGACTACTTCAAGTTTTATTACTTACAATACCTTTATACAAGTTTCATCATATGCCGTATCTGTTTTGTAAGTTTTATCACTTGCAGTATCTATTTTTAAAGCTTCATTACAAGTAATATCATAAGTTGTTACATATTACACTTCAAAAAAAAATCAACTCTCTTAGTCCAACGTCAGCGGAAGCTGAAATTTTTTCATGTTGTAGTCAACAGCGTCAGTATCAGTATTACCTTTATTCCAGTAAGAAATTGTGTAAACTTTGTCTTGTTTTGTTTTATCAAGTTTTTTTATTCTCTACCATCATTCATGTCATACTTTGAATACTTACTATTGTACCATTCATGGCAAAGTTTTTGCCCCACAATTCTATCTGACATTACATCATCTTAGTCATTAAGTTGTATTTACAATGTATTTAAACACTTTATTTCATTGTAAAAGAGTTCAAGCAACTGTCATTTTAACTTTCTTTTGTCTTTTTCATCCATTTTTTGGCATTTGCATACATATTTTTTTGAAATATCTACTCATATATCATTATGCTTCATTTGATTTATCATCTCTTTTCATGGGTTTCTGAATAGACCACATAACTATATTTTTATGGGTTTCTGAATAGACCATATAACAATATTTTTATGGGTTTCTGAATAGACCACATAACTATATTTTTATGGGTTTCTGAATCAACCACATAACTACATTTTTATGGGTTTCTGAATCCACCACATAACAATATTTTCTCTAGATAATTGATCTAAACTATCTAGGTAATTTAATTTGTATGAAACATAACAAACTGTTGCATTAGGTGATTTTTCTTCAGCCTCACTAAACATTCCCATTAACTCTTCACTATTTATATCGTGAAGCCTTGCACATGCTACTTCCTCCTTGAGAGTCTGGTTAATAGAAAGTGAGAAATATCTCTTACATTGATGAGTTATGACATCTCCCACTGCAATAAGACAAGCAAAAGTCAAATTGATAAAGTGTTCATCAATCAAACAAAACATTTTTTATTGGATCTAAAATATTTGGTTCAAGGTCATTGTCAAAAGTGAACCTGGTTTTGATTTAGAATCTGCAATTTTTAGTAAAATATTTTTTAATACCAGGATTCCACTATAATGGTCAAAATTTGCCTCCTCAACAGTCACACAAAACTTTGCCATCTAGGCTGGAAACTGGATGACAAAGTTTTATTTAACTTTGAAGAGGTGGTTTTCCAAATAATGCAAGAACACACTTTTTCTTTAGAGCTGTTTTGTTACAAAATACAGCTCTAAGAACTTTTTTTATAGTTCTGCATAATAATGTTAAATGGTTAAAAAATGCTCAAACTCTTTTAATTTTTAATAAAAATAAAACAAGTATGAAAAAAAATATGAAGACGATTTCTTAGATACCTTGGAATGATACCTCGTGGTAGTTTTTGATCAGCTAAAAACTAACAAATCTTTTTAAATCACCTTTGCCATGTTTAAACCTCAACTTGTTCATAGCCAAAACTATTTTAAATGCCATACAATCATACCCAGCCATGAGGTAGCAATTATATCAAGAGCGTGTAAATGGCAGTTCTGAAATTTTCATTGCCTTTTTTTTAAGCTTTAAGATTGTATATTATCTTACTGTAATAATATGTTTGCAAATTTTGTTTAAGATCTCTAAGTTCAGCTCTTAAAACTTTAACAATTTGTTTCTTTTATGTAATTTTTGTCTCAGTACTTTCAACTTGTATGCCATGCTTTTTAATTTTGCTGTCACTATTACTAATTTTTTTCAATACTTGCTGGATGTAACAGCAAGCTGAGAAGTTAAAGAGGACAATCTGGTATTCAAACCTTTTTTTTCTAGGGCTTATTTCTCCTCTTGATTCATGCCTATTCATTGTTAACAGAATGTTTGGAAAATAAAGGCTTGTGATTTAGTGGTGATAAATTACTTATGTGCTCAAGTGGTGAATTATCTATACTACTTAAAACAGTAGTAAGAGAACTACTTGGAGGGACATGATGATAGAAAGACTGGCAAGATTTGTGCAATTCATATACAGGGTTCATTACAAAATTCCTTAAAACGAATACTATCCCTTGTAAGGTTGCAAAACCAACTTTTGCATCTTTTCAAAACCCTAAAGAAATGTGGTTTACAAATGTTTAAACTAAATAATAGTTATAACAAATGACTTGACACTGTTAATGAATAAAAAAGGTACATATCTATTTTTACAACAACTGCAAGTTTTGGTCGGTAAAAAGAAGTGTGTGTTTAAATACTCTTTAACTGTACTAAGAACAAAAATTAAAGTTGCTTTTTGTGCCCATTGCCGGGGCACAAAAAGCAACTTTATTTACAAAAAAAAAATGTAAAGAAAGTCTTGAATAACTACCGAATAATAATATAACATTAAATTATAAACAATATTATACTTTTATTATTAAAAACATTTTTAATAATAATGTATTATTGCGTAATTAAAAAATACTATTTATACACACAGACAAAAATGCTAATGTATACTGACATCATAAAACATGTGATAATATAAAGAAAATTTAAAAGATACATTGCAAATGTTTACATAAAAAAGGAAAACTGTTTTTAAAATACCATCATACCTATAGCTAGAATTATAGTAATCAACGCTTATGTTTTCAATTTCAATGAAACCAATAAAATTTTAGAAACTATAAACAAGTCACACTAAAATAAATAGTAATTTTCACTTTTAAAATAAAATAAACTAGTAAAATTACACAAACTAATATTAATTAATATAAAAAATCTAAAAAACTACTGAAAAAATAAGAAAAAGAAAAAAACATCTTATTGGCAGTCTATATCTAATTGTATTAATATATATATATATATTAGGTATGTCCAAAAAAAAAAATTTTTGAATTCAACCTAGCACAGTATCTCATTTTGTTCCTTTGATGGAAACTAACTTTTATGCAAATTTTGGCATTTATATTTTGATATTTACAAGTTGCTCAATGGAGGTGAAGTTTAACAGTACAGATAAACTTGCCGCGGCTGCACTTTTTTGACTGAAATCTTCAAACTAGAATCACAAGATGATAAAATGTGATAGATACATTACTATTCATTTCAAAAAGACATACTGGTTATGACACAGACAGTGCAGACACAATCAGTCACACATTAACAATTTTTAATTTATCAAAATTAATATCAAAGAAATTAACAGCAATTTTTAAACATGTTCGTTCAGATTTTTATTGCATGCTCATTTATTGTTCACGTGTTCAAAGTTCAACTTATTTCAGTTTTCAAGCTTGCGACGTCTACCGAGGGGCATATGCCATCAGGGTGCTTTTCCGGTAATCTGGAATGCGCTTCCTGTTGTCCTCAACAACTTGGAGGAGTTTCTGCATTTCAGACTCTGTCTTTGTTATTGACTGGTTTAAAGAACTCATCAGTGCAATAGAGCGCTCGGCAGTATCATTGATAACCTTGAGAGAAGCAACAACAGCTTTGGTTTTTCGAAATGAAGCACTTTCTTCCCAACTCGGGGGCTCAAGTCCTGACAAGGTAGTTATGTCAAGTCCAAGTGACTGCAATGCAGCTGTTGATGATGATGTTACCAGTTCATGTAGTTGCTTTTTCTCCAACTCATTGCATTTTGATACTGGAAACTTGTTTCCCCTGACACTCCAATCATCTCCACTGAGGATCATGGCTTCCGCAATCAACTTCTTTTCTTCATCAGATACTTTGCTGGAGAACAGTGAAAGAGGAACCATTTCTGTTCCAAGATACCACATGCGATTCTGCAATTTCTTCAAAGCTGCTTGTGAAACAATCTTGTGTACCTCAGCATATCTTTTTATTCTCTGAAACAGCATCAAATCATTCAATGGTGCATCACTTGCCACTGGACAAGCAATCCAAGCTGGTACATAAATGTGAGCTGCAAAAATGCAAAATTCAGACAGGTTTTTCACCTCAGTTGAAGTCAGTTTGAATTCATTCCTGAACAGGAAAATCTTCATGCAATATATGACCTTTGCCATCCATCTTGCCATATGGTAGGCACCCGGCTGTCTGAAATGATATGGCTTTCCACCAGCTGGATGGCTTGGTAGTGTGAAACCCAATATCAAGAGGCAAAGTTCAATCATTTCCTTGTAGTCCTCTCGTGGTAGATATGACGTTTGACCTGACAGAAAAGACAGCAAGAAAGGACCAAATTCTGCTCTGAGTTGTTGCAGCTGTGGAACTGTAAGTCGCGTATCATCAAGTGGAACAAAGTTCATTTGGTCAATAGTTGGCCAAGACTGCTGAAAACGTTCAAATAGAGCAATGTTTGGGCCACGGCTTGGGCCAAGCAAAACTGTGAACACTTCACCAATAATCACTTCATGCACGTGGTGTCGACAAGCTAAGTATAGAAGGTTTCTCCCAAATCAGCCAAACAGCAGTTCGAGTGCGTGTCAGTGGTACAGCGTTTGACTTTGCAGCCATTTTCAGCAACAGTCTAAAATTAAGATAGAAGCATTTTAGAATTAATAACAAGATAGGCCTATTAATTCAATGAATTCATATAAAAATGATTTATTAGAATATATTTTATTATTTTTATAATGGATTCGGATTGTCACAAATAAAGTTTGAAACCCTACTAATGGTTCAACACAGCATTAAGCAGGTTGTCTATAGTTCCTACAACTGTTTAATAGAATGATCAAATAAATATGAAATCAGCACAAAGTAAGAAACTAATTGAAACTATTATAATTACCTTTATTGAGAGTTTACATCAATGTATTAAATAAATTCTGTATAAATTCACAAGTTTGCTGAAATAATTCTCATTTGCTACATTGACAATGACATCATCATAGAATATCTAAATTCTAAAAACACTAAATAAATAAGTAATGCAAATGCAATGGTGCTTTACAGTCAGTAACCTTATCATAAAGATTGGTCAAATGGACAGATTATTTTCTGTTGTTACAATTTTATCGCGGACTCGCGGGTAACCCAATGCTGATGCATATTGAAAAACCTTTGGGGCCATTGAGCAACCCCTAAATATTAATTGATTAGGGATCTTTTTGGAAACATGACTAAATATTGAAAAACGAACAAAATGAGCCTATGTGCACTAAAATCGGAAGAAATTTTTTTTCCTCCATGTATATGTGGACATCCCTAATATATATATATATATATATATATATATATATATATATATATATATATATATATATATATATATATATATATATATATATATATATATAAATGTTTTTGCAGTAATTTATTAGATTTTTCATATTAATTAATATTAGTTTGTATATTTTCACTAATTTATTATCTAAAAAAAAAATTATATATATATATATATATATATATATATATATATATATATATATATATATATATATATATATATATATATATATATATATATATATATATTATACATATAGCATAAATAATTACTAAACTTACCAAATAAAATTAAACTTGTTCGTACCCCTCTTACTACCCACTTACGGAAATCAGAAAAACAGAAATGAGGTACCAAAACTGCTCACTTTTATAGACTATCTGCTCAATAATATTTTTCAATGAAATTTGGTAAGTAGATAAAAAATATATGTAAAAAACTATCTGGGTAGCTTTGCAAACTATCTGAGCATTTCTTTGACAATAATTTAATGTGAGAACAACAACCAAGTTTTTAATACAACTAAAAGCAATACAAAAATTACCAACCACACATAAATGTTATATATTAATCAAGTTTAACTATTCTTTTTTTCAAAAATAATCTAAGTTTAGTAATGTTTCTAAACAGAAACGCCACAAAAAAACGTTCGCCTGACGATACCTAAAAAAAAGTTCAAAATTCGGTACCGTAAAACACGGATTTCCGCGTACCTAATATATACACATATATATATATATATATATATATATATATATATATATATATATATATATATATATATATATATATATATATATATATATATATATATATATATATATATATATATATATATATATATATATATATATATATATTTATATATATATATACATATATATATATATATATATATATATATATATATATATATATATATATATATATATATATATATATATATATATATATATATATATATATATATAATATATAATAATGTCCATAACCTTTTGCACTTATCTAATGACTGTCGAAATAATTCATGTTCTCTAAATAGAATATCCTGTTTTCTTTTTGAAAACTTTCATCAAAGAATAAAAAGGAGTGTACGTACTTCTTCTAATCCAGTCTCTCAAGTTTCAAAACGGCAACATGAGTATCAAAATTGCTTAGTAGGGTTACCAGAGAAAAATTTAGAAAATAAAATCTCTGATAACAGAAAAGATAAGTGTTTTTTGCTCCTGAACTCTTCTGTTGCATTTGTAAAAGCTAAAAATAACGATGGAACACTTTAATGTAATGTTCTCGGCAATAAGGATTTAGAAACTGTGTTTGTCTCTACAACTTCATTAATGAAGTTCGGCATACTTTAATTTCAAACTATAAATTTTTATAAGGTTGTAAAGAAAACCTTAACAATTGCTGATTTTGAAAAAAAAGTAGGCTTTCCAAAACTTCCATTACTGCATAATGATGAGAAATTGAAACAGTAATTTTTTATTAAGTTTACTCTTGCTGCATACCTTTTTATTTTCTATGCTGTTTATTGCTTATATTTAAATTAGTATGTATGTTATATCTTTTTTAATAAAAAGTTAACACTTTAGCTTTTTGTATGTTTCATATGCTTAATGAATGTCCAATTAATAGTTTAAATACAAAGTATTTAAAAATCTTGTGTAAATTATTAAAACAGTATTCAAGCATTGACAATTTTATAAAATGTATAATTATATTTGAATAAATGATCATTTAATTTTTGAGTAAATATATTGTTTATTGCTTAATCTATAATAATTGAAGTTTTCATTTTCAGCGCATGTTTAGCTCAATATTATGTCCGTAGCGCATTAAGATTGTTAAATATTTACACGAAAACTTAAGTTTGACGTTATTACTTATTGCTACTAATAACTGTATAGTTTACACTAAAACAGTTAATATATATTTTATACTTTAGTTAATATTGTCTTAAAGTTAAAATGTCTTGGTGCCGAGCAGTATGGCTGTATGGTTCAACAGAAGAAAAGCTGACAATCTCGTCAGAGTGGGTTGAAGGAGAAGTAAATGGAAAACAGTTTGTGAGGTGGCCTAATGGTATTAATGTTTTAAAAGCTTGTAAACAACAGGTAAGTATTTAACTTATTTACTGATTGGCAGTTTGGAAGGAGACTCTTTGTAAAAACCTAAAGTATCTTTATTTCAATTATTTATTTGATATTATAAAATATATTACACATTCAATCAAATAAAACACACTTAAAGTATTCAATGTATGAATATTACAAATACAAAGAAAAAACTTTCCAAACTTTAGATAATAAAACAGTGTGTGGAGGGTTTACCTTTACTAGTGATGTTTCTAAAGCATATTCTTATAAACGAATAGAGGAATCTTGTAAATTGATCTTGGAAAATGGAAAAGGAATTAATTATCAAAAAATACATAAAATACGTATGTTTTTTGTTTGTTTTACTTATTGATTTAACATACTTTCAATAAATGTGTTTAGTGAAATTATTAAAACTATTTTTGTATGATAACCTATAATATTGTAACATTCAAAATGTATAACAAATTCTTTTTTATTATATATTATATACTTAAGATACCTTTTACTTTAGGTGTTTGTCCTGAAAAGCCCACGTTTAACAGAGTTAGGTCACGACCTCCGTTCGATGTATCATCACATTCTTCATTTTTGCAAGATCCTGTAGCCCGATCTCTTACTATTGATACTTATGCGACGGATGACATAGAACCACGTTCTAATCAACCAATTTCAAGACAAAATACTTCAAAGAGTTCAGCAATAGTATCTTCTAGTTCTATCTTTTTTTCCCTGCTGCAAAATCTTGTCAATCACAATTTGCGTCTGAAGTTAAATCTAAAATCCCAGTTAAAAAAGTTCCTACCAGTGAAATCTAATTTAGTAAACCTACTATCTTCCTCTAACCAAATTAGGATGCCACCAATGAATACAGCTCTAATTTCTTAAAACTTCTAAATCTAAATTTCCTTTTCCTGAAGCTAATAAAAATATTTATTGTTTTGCTTTTACTATCAAGTGTATCAAGTTATGGTAGGAATTTATATATATATATATATATATATATATATATATATATATATATATATATATATATATATATATATATATATATATATATATATATAAAAACAATTTGAAATGTATTCTAAAAAATAGAGTACTAAATTTTCTTAAAAGCACAGAACAATTGTAAATCAGTTAAAAATCACATAACAAAAATATAAATATAATATATAATTATATGCATATAAACAAATAATAACTAAAATAATAATTATATGCATATAAACAATGGTGAGGAATATTTAAAAACAGTTATAAACTGATAATACGTATAACCTACGATTGTATAAAGCAACTAATGTAAAATAACAATAATATAAATAATAACGACACTAATTATACAAATATTATTAAAAGAATTAATAATATTATTAATAGTTAATATAATAAAGTATAATAATAATAATAATAATAATAATAATAATAATAACAATAATAATAATAATAATAATAATAATAATAAAATAATAAAAATAATAATAAGTAATAAAAATAAAGTATAAATAATGGTTATAATAGTTAATGATAATAGTTATAAACTGTTTTAGACAACATTATTGTTCAAAAGTCTAGTTATAAACTTAATGCCACCATGTGGCTTACATCTTATATTAGCACATCACAAATATATGTTTACAAGTTTATTTACAACACCATAAACAGAAAGAGTATGGATAACAAAATAGGCAAGGCATTTCTAAATATTGGTTGATCTAATTTGGATAAACAAATTGAGCAATATTTTATAAGGTAATTGTAATCTACAAATAATATTATACAAATTGTATTGTAATTTTTTCAAAATTATTTGATTTTACATAGAATAATCCCATTAATAATTTTTTAACAACAACAATAAAAAAATTGAATGCACAATAACAAGGTTGTTTTAACCAAACTGTAGTCGGCCACGTAAAAACTTATTAATTAATATATCTGTATCAGGTTTGTCTAAGTCACACACTCTAAAAACGACTCCGTTATAACCATAACAGAGTTCGTCCGTAACACATTGGATAATAGAGTTCGTCTGTAACTCATTGGGTGACAGAGTTCGTCTGTAAGAAATTGGGTAACAGAGTTCATCCATAAATCTACGTAAGCATTAGGCGTTAAATAAAAAAAAAAATTTCGTTAGATGAACGTATTAAAATTAGATGATGGATTGCGGTATATAAAGTTAAAAAAAGTATTTAGAAAAAAGCAGCTTTCTACTAGTTATAGCCCTCTATGATATCTTAAAGAGTTTTTAAACACTTTTTGTTGGTAAGCACAAGCTCAGCTTATACACTATTTGTTAATTCAAGAATTAATTATATAATTTTGGAGGGCTTAATATTAATATACAAGGTATTATAGTAGTTTATTATCTTTATATAGTATTTAATATAATTTAATATATACAATATAATAAATAAAAAAGAATATATTACTTTATATATTTTAATAATGTTACTGATATTATGTGGAAAATTACTAACAAAATTCTATAGATTTATATAATCAAATTTTTGTTATATACTAAAAAGAATCATTTAAATATATTTATAACATTTTTTAAGAGAAATTTTTTTTTAAACCAAAACAGTTCCTTATATATCCATATATTTAAAAATAAGTTTATTCATTAGCAAAACATAAGGAATACTTATATATATATATATATATATATATATATATATATATATATATATATATATATATATATATATATATATATATATATATATATATATATATATTTATTAGCAAAATATAAGGAATACTGATAATAATGCGTCAAAAATCTGTCGCACAGATAGATAGAATCCGAAAAAATATTATGAAAATTTTCAAAAAAATCGGCTTCCAAATAGAAATTACGACAAACCTAACAACCGCTAACTTCTTAGACGTTACATTTAACCTTGAAAAAGACTCATATCATCCTTTTAAAAACCCAAATAGCAACCTACTTTACATCCACACTGAGCCCAACCACCCCCCACAAATTATTAAACAAATTTCGATTGCTATCAACGATAGGTTATCCTAGAATTCTTCTGACGAAAAAATATTCAACTAGGCAAGGGAAGAATATGACGAAGCCCTAAAAAGAAAAGATTTTAGCTTCAAGTACAACCCTAAAATTGATACCAAAGTAACCCCCAATCGTAAAAGAAAAAGAAATATAATCTGGTTTAACCATCCATACAATAAAAACGTTCTCACAAATATAGGCAAAATCTTCTTACAATTAATTGACAAACACATTCCAAAATCAAATCCGCTTCATAAACTATTTAACCATAACACAACAAAAGTCAGCTACAGCTGTACAAGCAACATAGCAAAAATTATAAAGAACCACAACAATAAAATTATTTTGATGAACCCAACGGCCACTTTAGCTTGCATTTGTAAACTAAGCAAAATCTGCCCTATGAATGGAAATTGCAGAAAAACAAATATAATTTATAAGTGCATTGCATCATTCCCAAACACATCCGACAAAACATACATTGGTTCAACAGAGGGCATGTGGAAAACTAGATGGGCGAATCACAAGCAATCCTTCAAAAAAAAAAACCCACAAATGCAACCACGCTTTCTAATTATATATGGGATACACAAAATAAAACAAAAACAACACCCAATTGAAAATGGTCCATCATAAAATATGCCCCCGCGTACAACAACATAACCAAAAAATGCTTGTTATGCTTATACGAAAAACTAATTATTTTATTGTATAAAAACCCTCATGAATTATTAAACAAAAAAAATTAACTAATATCTAAATGTCGCCATGAAAACAAGTTTTTGCTGGACAACCAAAAACCAAAAAATTAGATTTTTTAACTCATTTTCTTTTGTACAGATTTATTATTTTTACGAGAAAAAAAACATATTTACACCTGATGATTGCATTTAGCATAAAACTAATAGTTGTGAAAAATATGCAGTTATATTTATAAATAATATATATAAATACAGCTCTGTTTTAATTTAAATAATTTTAATTTACTTTAATTCATCGAGCACTCTCGCGAGGATATATGCAAGCACTAATACGTATACATATATATATATATATATATATATATATATATATATATATATATATATATATATATATATATATATATATATATATATATATATATATATATATATATATATATATATATATATATATATATATATATATATATATATATATATATATATATATATATATAAATTATATAAAAGTGATGTATTATTTATTTATTTTCTAATTTCCTAAAATAATAATATATAATAATAGAGAAATCTAAATTGTGATAAAGCTACACATGAAATACAAAAAGACAGAACTAAAATTATTTTAACATTTAATGTTTAATTTATTCTTTTACGTTTTAAAAATTGTTATCATCAATAACATTTTAATTTAAAACAGCCTAATTATTCTATTAAATTATGTTTTTAAATCATTATTTTATTATTTTTAGAACAGCTGTGGTTTGTACAAGTTTTATACATTTTCAATCGCACATTCAAGATTAAGAACAAAATTGTATAAAAAGTAAACTTTCTATTAAATTTTTTATTCTTGTAGGTAAAGGTAATGATATTAAAAGACATGTATAAAAGCTTGCTTTTTTTCATCAAGTGCTTGTACACACGAGGTTAATGAGTGTCAAGAAAAAGTATCTCTTTTTTTTGTTTAAGACAATTTTTTATCAACAATGAATCACCCACATAGTCTACTATAATAAATATGTATCCAAAATTTCAGACAACTTCAGTTCTTGTAAGTTTTCTATAAAATAAATTTTTTTTATATTCAAAACTTATGTAAAGTTCTAAATTTTTGAAAAAACATTTAAGTTTGCAAAAAACAAAAATTAATATATTTAAAAAAACACATGCTTTTAAGAGCGTGAATAAAACTTTTTCATATTATGAAATTGACATTTCATAAAGTATGCAAGTATGATAATAATAGTCAGTATTTATATTTTATATTGTTAGATATTGAGTTTTAAATGATTTTTTCTAACTGTATACAGATTTTTTATCAGTATTTCGGACAAAAATAAGAGTCCCAGGAGAACTAAATAAAAAAACAAAACAATAGAGCTGATAGCAGCAGATGCCAGAAAAGGCGATAATGGTGTGTTTCTAAAAAATTTTTTGTTTTATTTTTCCATTTTTTTTCCAGAAAGATTTAGAACTAATAGATAGGCTAAAAGTTATTATGTAAGTAAAACCTTATGGCTTGAGTATATTGGGTATATTTGAGTTGTCCTAGGAGTAGGCGAGATGTTAACGTAAAAGAAAATATAGAATATAAAGATATAAAAAGAGAAATAAAAAGCGGCAAAAGTATAAACTCTGTGTTCTTGTTTATACTGAACTATAAACCCTGTTGTCTTGTTGATTACATTACATCTTACTGATATTTAGTATAAAAATCTAAACCAAAGCATGACCGTTCTTATTATTCTATTTTAAAGGTTGACATGCATACCATGTTTGCAAAGTTATTTCACTGCTGATTAAAACAACTGTGAAACGGAAAAGAAATTTAAGACCATAGCCTATCGATGTTTAAAAAGGATTGTTGAGGTTATTTTTAAAATTTTCCCAATTCAATAGGAATTTTAATTTTAACTTATAACTAAGTAAAAAAAAGTTTACCCACGATTTTTATAGTATTTATTTTCAATTCTCTTTAGTAAAATTAAAATTATTACAATTTATTTAAGAAAATGGTTTTATTTAATGTTATAATTATTTTTATACTTAAGCCAGGAATTTCCATGTCACAGACTGCAGAAAACCTTTGGAAACCATACCCATTGCGATTCATACAAGGTAATACCAAAGAAAAAGTTCTATTAGTAAAAATAGCTGCTGATAAGTTCCTAAATACGGCTGGGTTATCATTTAAATGAGGGTACTGAACAATTATTTAAACTTTTTCGGTGTTTT